CTGCAGCACAGTTAGAATAAATATGAACAAGTGCTGCCCCGGGACCTTCCAGTGAATTATTTGGAATTAAAAATAAATGGACTAATATTCTAAGTGCTAGGCCACTACTATATATTGTCGTACTTGTATCTTGATTCTTTGCTCTCAACTGGGGACCTGTGAGTATCATTGGGTGTCTACAGACGTGGCAAAGGTTTGACAAGCCTCTGATAGTAAACATGAGAGAAGACCTGTGATGTAACATCTGAAGAACAAACCTTCAGAGTTCCAAGCTTTGAACATTCCTAACCCGACTGAGACCCGGTATGACCATCGGATGGCCCAATCCATGACCCTCTCGGTGGTGCTGCGAATTGAGGCCACCACCGCCTGCTGAAGCTGAAGAGAGTGAGACAATCACTTCTCAGGAGCAAACAGCAAACAAGTTTGATTTGAGAGAGCCAACAGTTGTTTGTCAAGGACACACCAAAAATCTTGACCACTCATTTTTTGCCTCGGGCGCATTCCTGTCTACTTACAGGAATCTGTCCTTTTTGCTTCCGCTCAATCACTTTCTTTTCACTTGCTTAGCCTTCGATTTGGTCTCAGGGCTCTATGATGGGGATTCATTAAGTCCAACCTTTGTTGATTGGCATTGACACCTACATCCTGGTTTCCGAGCACGACGTTATTACAACTAAGCAGCTGGTGGCCGGATGTGGATCAAAGCCACCGTTCTTTTTGGGTTGTGAGGAAATGAAGAGTCTTGCCTAAGTAGGATGATGAGCCAACAGTGCTGATCATTTGGGAACAATTGGTCTTGATCATTTGTGATGCTCGACCTGCCCAATGCTACCAGGACCGCTGGTCGACCTGCGTGGCGATCGGGACTGGCGACCGCCTAGAGTAATCAATCTGTGCATGCGGGGGGGTCACCAAACCAGAGGCTGCGAGGCATCCAAGGCGAAGACATATTCAAATGCATGAGCTGTTTACGGTGTCCTGACCATATCAAGGATTTCTGGGATTGCCCTTTCAGGACCCTGCTCTTCTCGATCCCAGCTCTGGTCGGTCGAGCTGGCATATGTTTACAGTCGAAGGTGCTCAGTGGGGTCGCAGCAATGCCCAGAGAACTTTGAGCCCTGATGTTGTCGAGAGTAGGGAATTCAAAAAGCACCTACCTGACCTACCTTACCTTACAAAAGTAGATGAGTTAACATGAGTTAACCCAGTGTTGTGCACTGGGTTGCGCCTTTGGCAGGCAGCTGATGTTGGCCTCTGCTGCTCGCAGGGCTTTTTAGTGGCCTGGCGTCCATCAACACGCCACTGCCTCATTGGCACAGGTGCTTTGTATATGGCCAGTATACATGTGGGGATCTAGGTATGTGGCAAGTAAACAGCGGGTGCTGATGGCTTTGGTTTGAAACCAACAGATTGAAGCCACTCAGGTCAGCGTCACGGTCCTTCGTGCACGCACTGACATGGGGTATCAACCTCGCAATTATGACCAATGTGCGCCGGGATGCATGTTCCGGTTGACTTGCATTTCTCTTTTTGTCCCCCCGTGCCTTGCAAGGGGCCAGCAGATAGGTGTGGTTAAAATGAGGACATGCATTTGCTACTAGCCTCTCAACACATGCCTGTGTCCACACTGGATACGAAGCCAGCTGCTTTGGTCTCAATTCTGGTTTCGGCTGCGCAGATCTTGCAATTTGTCTTCACCAAGACCAGAAAGTCCCGGCAGGAATACAGGTGCCAATCCTAGCCTTGCGACCAATATCAATTCGTCTCTAAGCATGGAGCCCACCGGAAGCTGCTTCAGGTTCATGCAGAAGTGGGGTACCGATCTGAGAGGGTGCGTGCAACGTGTCCGCATCGCACGTCTTGTTTCTCTTTGGAGTCATTTGGGAGATGGGTCCGGTGGGGGCACCCCAGCTGACTAATGGCATTCTGCAAACCGCTGCTGAAAGTGCATACCACTGCACAGCTGAGGCCCCTTCTTCTGTATTGTTGCCTCAATCTTTCTGTGCATGGCCGACCTTACTCGCCACCTAGCTCTTCGGCTGAACTCTTTCCAGAATCAAACAGACAAGCAACGCACATGAGGTTGTCTCTCCATGAGCGTTGTTGATACTCTTTTAATTTACAACCAGCATGCCTTCTATGATTGAAAGTTGCCACAGCACTACACTGGCAACAGCCTAAAGCAATTTCAATAACAGAGACGTTGGTTCATTCCGACCAACAGTGTATGCAGCAGCCGGTGCATTTGATTCCACATCACCGAACAAGTTAACCCAAGGTATCCGCTGTTGTCATGAAGGGAATTTAGCCGTGCCGTGAATGATCACCAAATAGAGGGGACCGTGAGGTTCTGGCTTCAGAATTCTTCACCACATCCCGAGAAAGCCTTTCATCGCTAGTTACTTCAGCATGGAAAGGGTTGCAAACATCACCCGAAGAGATCCAGACCGCTTTTCTGAGGTGAATGATGCCTGGGGTACGGCCTGCACCAGTCTCCCTGATGGGGATCGTCTAGGCTGGGCATTTGACTTTTTGCATTTTGGCGCTTTTGGCTTTTCTGCTTCGGCGAAGAAGACTTTGAACAGCAAAGTGAAGGACTACAGGTTTAGTTTCCACTGAATTGAGAGACTCTTTGCATGATTGATAGGGCTGTGGGTTTGGCAAGACATGCAGCAAGATTGTGGCCCAAGCAATTGCGACTGCCTTGCATCGTTTCCTCAAAGAGGAATTTTTCTGAGCCATCAATGGGCGGAGGGCCGTCTTCGGAAGTGAAAGGACAGAGTGTCCAGCTAGTTTGGACAACTACCATTTTCTCCGATTGCAAGTGCTGCCCTGGTTTGAAGACTTTGCAGGGGGAGGTGCCGGCCTGGTTGAAAAGCAACTTTGAGAAGATTGTAGAGCTCGGAGCACCCTATGGTAGTTGCATTTGCTGCCAGATGGACAACTGCGGCAGTCCGTGCTTTCCAAGTCCATTTGAGGATGAGAGTCAGAACGAGCCACTAAAAGCAATGAGATCCCAGTTCCCACAGTATGTCTTCTCGTTCAGGGCTGAGTGGGTGGGCATGGGCAAGCATGCCAATTGGCAGCACGTCCTACAGATCTCAAACAGTGGCGCAGTTGTGGGTGAAGTTGTCGGTGTCCCTGGACAGCAGAATATGTAGCGAGTTTCCATGCGAAATCCATACGAATTTGGATCCTGACGTTGGCGTGACTTTGAGCAGTGTCCCAGTGTCTTAGAAGGGGGTAATTCCCAAATCCTTGTTGGCAGGACTGACCAGAATACTGGGAGCACAAAGTGGCCCCAGACTTGGTCAAGAGGATCAAGTGTTCAAAGGGGGATGCGCTCGCTACTTCAGAGGCTGCAACAAAGTCCGCGAATCTAGAGGGAGTCACCATTCTACAAGTCAGACCTGCGAGCCTTGAGCAATTGATTCTGAAAGAGCTGACCCAAAGCTCTTGACTCTGGGGATTGAATCGGAAGCTCAGGTATTTTCAGAGAGAGTGGTCCAGCTCAAATTCTAGACTCCAACTACGACAAGTGCCCATTTCGTGAATCGGCTGTGGATAGAACATGATAGAACATGTCTGAAGTTTCTTGGACATTTTGCAGGATTTTGTGCCAATCTACTAGTAACAAGTGCATCGCTACTAGTAACAAGTGCCTTACTAGTAGTAACAAGAAGCGACTACTAGGAACAAGAATTAACATCTGAAAGGTACTGCAAATGGGTGATTGTTGAAGCCTCAGATCCTCAGATGACCGTTCGCCGGGACACATTCAAAGGGGG